GGAATGAGCCAAACAACTGCAAAAGAAAGTGAAGAGAGAGAAAGATGATGATGAACATAGAGATTCTTACAGCAAAAGGGTGAGTCTCCATTTATAATCATCATTATTGCACTCATCCAGTGCCTTCACTACAGTCTGTAGTGTTGATGTGTAGACCTGAGGTGATGATATGCCCATTGCTCCTCCTCCTCTTATAACCTTCCACAGACACACTGATATATTGTATACCATGAAATGATAACTGAGGAAGAAATAGAGAGAGAGAGAGGGGGAGGGGAGAGATAAGATTATAAATACATGTACATGTATATACCATGGCGACTTCTTTGCTAAACCAACTGGCTTTGCTAAAGCAGCGAAGACTTTCTTGCTCCCTTCCCTATCAAAATTAAAAAGTGGGCATAATCACATGTATCTTGAACAAATTGAATCCGCATTATTTTTGCAAAATTTGCAATTCAATACTGAACAACATAATGTCTGCTCTCAAACTGTACTTCTCTCCTGGAGAGACACATTCCACGACAGACGTGAGCTCTTATGAGGAACTGGTTCGCTGGAGGATTGAGAGAGAAATAGAAATCAATACACTCCATGGCCAGATCAACATTATCATCCTAGAGAAGCAATAGTGAAGAGTTCTTTCCTCCAATCTCTTACCTTTAATATGTGCTCAGCGAATAATACTAGCTGAGGAACATTAGTCTCGACCATTGGCTTCCTGTTCTCTGGAGAGAAAGTCTCTCTGAGATAGAAAAACATTTCTTCATAGGACTGAGCAGCCATTTTGTGCTCGTTACCATAGTAACAAAGTGCCAGAGTGGGCGATGCCCGAGATATTAGAGTATAAAAAGCATAGATTCATTTACCCTAATATATATGGTAAAAGCATACACAGTCAATAGTTGAAATCTAAATCAGGATTGATGCTAGCCTGATTCAGTCCTGAAATTAGTACTGGATCATGCATTTTGGGCAATCAGTCACGATACACTCAGTCATGAAATCAGTCGTGATACTGAAGGTTTTGTACTGGTTCAGGCCAGAGTATCAGGCACGATCAGCAATGATACTTTTCAGAACTGTACCAGTACTGATATCAGACTTGATTCATTCATTTTGGGCAATTTTCCTGATTCAGGCATAATTACTTGATTAAGGCATACGGTACTTTTGGCTGTGTACTGCACTTTTCACTCCATTTGGATTACATTTACGTGCTCCGTAAACTGCATAATGACATGTTTATAGTATCATGGAGGGGAGGAATTTACAGAACACACAATGATCCAAGTGGAGTGAAAAGCGCAGTACTGCATTTGTAGATATTCACTTCTGTTTGATTCGAACACTGCGTGACGTGAGTTGATTTTCAGTGCATGGTTTATTAGGCGCACATGATCTCCACGCAATACTCAACGTGCAACACAAGCATACTGCACTTTTCACTCCACTTGGATCATAGACACTATGCTTAGATCTCGACTTGGATCCTTGAGTAACAGAGTAAATCCCTCCCCTCCATACTATGTGCATGTATTATGTAGTTTACGGAGCATGCAAATGTGATCCAAATGGAGTGAAAAGCACAATAGATTACGTACATATAGAGTAAGTACCTACTAATATCTATGGTGAAATCCACTGTACTGCGCTTTTCACTCCACTTGGATCATTGCGTGTTCTGTAAATCCCTCCCCTCCATACTATGTGCATGTATTATACAGTTTACAGAGCATGCAAATGTGAGCCAAGTGGAGTGAAAAGTGCAGTACAGAAAACATTTACGGGGCTCGTTTCTAGTATCTATGATTAGTTGTTATTCTCCAATACAATGTGCAATATCGTGTATAGAAAAATAATTTTTTACATACACACAAAAAACAATCTTAGAAAGTTCTGAGGTTTTTTACTCTAGCTGTAAAAAATACAACTAAAGTCAAAAGAATAGAAAAACTATAAACTAAGCAAAACAACACTACATAATTGAAGAGGCATAGTCTCGTACCCAGCTAAAAGAATACAAAGTCAATAAATGACAAATTATTTTAGAATTATTTTTTACTGGACTGCCTCTAAAAGTGTACTGCCTAGCTCTAAAGATAAAAAATGTGAAATAAATACAGTGCAAATCAACAGAAAAATACAAGACTGATACTATTGAATGTATATGCAAAACAATGAGAAGCATATTGAGTCATAAAAATACATGTTATTCAAGCCAACAAGAAAATATATTAAACCACTGATCAGGATTTTTAGGGCAGATTTTATGCATGGATCTCTAATGCAATTACAACAGCAATGTGTTACAAATTTAAAACCCGGTACTGCTGTTTGGCTACAAAATTAAACATCAAACCAAAATACATGTTAATAACTTATTTTATGCTTTAAAAGCTTACTTCTAGTGATTCCCCCAAGAGAGACTATAAAACAATATAATCATTTGCATTATTTTTGCTAAACATACCAATGAATCACTATCATCACCACTATCATTATCTGAAAAATTTTTTGACCCTGTGAAAACATAATCTTTTGCTAATCAATGCAGGGGCGGATCTAGGGGGGTTTGGGGGGTTGCAACCCCCCCCCAAAAAAAAACATTCTAGCTCAAAAAATTTTTAATGTTTTTATTGCTGCAACAGTGGAACCACGTAGTTTATATAACAACATTACTGTGGTTAATGAATAAAATTAACAAAGAAAGAGCTCCAAAAATGAGGAAAATGCTGACTTTACATGAACGTTTTAACATGCATCTATGGTTTTCACCACAAAATATATAGTGCTGAAAAGGAGTGTGGCCAAAATCGCAGCATGCTTCACGCCATTTTATTTCACAACCCTTTATTTCCAAAATTCTGGATCCGCCCCTGCAATGTTACCATATAAAATGATATTTTTGGTCACTTCAGAAAGAGAAAAAAGAGATTCATGCAAAATTTTTAACAATAGGGAAATTCAGATCATGTAAGCAGATGCAGTATATACAGTAAACACTGTTCAAAATTCGTAAATCAACAAAATGTTACATATGCACTGACTTTTTTTATGGTTTTTTTTTTCTTTTGGAAGCTAAAACAATAATAATACATTAAATTAAAATATTGTTATACATAAACTTACTGTTAATTCTTCTTCAGTAGCAGGAGACTAAAACAATAGTAATACATTAAATTAAAATATTGTTATACATAAAACTTACTGTTAATTCTTTTTCAGGAGCAGAAGGAGACTAAAACAATAATAAATTAAAGTAATGTTATACATAAAACTTACTGGTAAAAGAAGAGACTAAAACAATGATAATAAATTAAATTAGAGTATTGTTAAAACCAAGAGTGGATAATTATTTCTAATTATCCACTCTTGATAAAACTTACTGCTGATTCTTGTTCAGTAGCAGGAGACTAAAACAATAATAATAAATTAAATTAAAGTATTGTTATACATAAAACTTACTCTTTTTAAAGAAAACTAAAACAAGAATAATACATTAAAATAAAGTAATGTCATACAAAAAACTTACTCTTTTTGTAGGAGAAGACTAAAACAATAATAATAATACATTAAATTAAAGTATTATTATACAAAAAAACCTTACACTTTTTGAAGAAGGCTAAAAAAATAGTAATACATTAAAATAAAGTATTGTTATACATAAAACTTACTCTTTTTGAAGAAAACTAAAACAAGAATAAGAATAATACATTAACTTAAAGTAATGTCATACAAAAAAACTTACACTTTTTGAAGGAGAAGACTAAAACAATAGTAATACATTAAATTAAAGTATTGCTATACATAAAACTTACTTTTATTTTAGCAGCTAGGAGACTAAAACAATAATAATACATTAAATTAAAGTATTGTTATACATAAAACTTACTTTTATTTTAACAGCAGGAGACTAAAACAATAATAATACATTAAATTAAAGTATTGTTATACATAAAACTTACTTTTATTTTAACAGCAGGAGACTAAAACAATAATAATACATTAAATTAAAGTATTGTTATACATAAAACTTACTTTTATTTCAGCAGCAGAAGGCTAAAACAATAATAATACATTAAATTAAAGTATTGTTATACATAAAACTTACTTTTATTTTAACAGCAGGAGACTAAAACAATAATAATACATTAAATTAAAGTATTGTTATACATAAAACTTACTTTTATTTCAACAGCAGGAGACTAAAACAATAATAATACATTAAATTAAAGTATTGTTATACATAAAACTTACTTTTATTTCAGCAGCAGAAGGCTAAAACAATAATAATACATTAAATTAAAGCATTGTTATACATAAAACTTACTTTTATTTCAGCAGCAGAAGGCTAAAACAATAATAATACATTAAATTAAAGTATTGTTATACATAAAACTTACTTTTATTTCAGCAGCAGGAGACTAAAACAATAATAATACATTAAATTAAAGTATTGTTATACATAAAACTTACTTTTATTTCAGCAGCAGGAGGCTAAAACAATAATAATACATTAAATTAAAGCATTGTTATGCATAAAACTTACTTTTATTTCAGCAGCAGAAGGCTAAAACAATAATAATACATTAAATTAAAGCATTGTTATGCATAAAACTTACTTTTATTTCAGCAGCAGAAGGCTAAAACAATAATAATACATTAAATTAAAGTATTGTTATACATAAAACTTACTTTTACTTCAGCAGCAGAAGGCTAAAACAATAATAATACATTAAATTAAAGTATTGTTATACATAAAACTTACTTTTACTTCAGCAGCAGAAGGCTAAAACAATAATAATACATTAAATTAAAGTATTGTTATACATAAAACTTACTTTTACTTCAGCAGCAGGAGGCTAAAACAATAATAATACATTAAATTAAAGTAACGTGGCCTTACGTTATTATCGAAGCAAATTTTTGACATGTAATTTTTACATTTATTGCGTAGGGGAGGTATTAGTAAGAAGACCAAAATAATAGTTATTAGTACTACAAAAATGCTACCAATAGTAGCTCCAACAAGTGCTGTATAAAAAAAGCTTTAAGTTTGGCATATAATAATAATTATAACCTGGCATAGATGTTATAGAAGATAGTGATGGCATAACACTGACAGTAATACTAGTATCTATGTATAATTAATGATAAAATGATACATTTACATACTAAATACATACTCACTAAATGTTAATGCAAATGGCTCACTTCTACCAATAGCATTACTAAATACAATAATAATTGAACAATATTTATTGCGTGGTACTGATACTGATTCTGTTATATTTTTTTGATAATTCACTAGATATATGCTATCAAATGTGACAGTTCCATTACACTGTATAGTCACAGTAGCATTCTCAGGAGCTTCACCAGTACACTCAATTATAATCTGTAATATTAATGTCGAATGAGGATCTAAAGTATCTCTTACTGGTATATTGAAATCAAAAGTAGCTGTATTTTGAGTATATTTTTTGTTAAAAACTACAGTAGCATTCTTCACTGATTGAGGGACTATAAAAGTTAAATTTGGTTATTATTGTTGAATATAAATAACTAGTAGCTACCTCTTTGATATGAGAATGTATCATTATTAGATATTCCTTCTCCTAATTCATTAACTCCAGTTATAACATATGTATAACGATGAATAAATAAATCATTATCCACAAACTGATAACTGGTATCATATACTGATACACTTCTCAATAAATGATCATTAATATCATCATATATTTTTAGTAAATAATGTGATATTGCTAAATCAGCACGATTTATTTTAGGAGGATTCCAAAAAAC